TGAATGAAAATACTTTGGAAAGTAGCTTTCCCAAGGTGAGTACAGGAACAGAATACACGAGAGCTCTAAAATGAAAGCAGAAAATGATAAAAACACTCAGCAGGTCTGCCAACATCCATGGAAAGGAAGAAACTGAGTTAATGCTCTTATCATAGATATGAAGCACTACTTCTGTTTCTCTCTGTCTGTCTTCCACTGGTGCCCCCAGAGCTACCGGGTGTTCACAACACTTTCTGCTTTTGTTTTCGTAGAACATTCCTGTGAGTGTTATTTTTATCAGTTACAAGTTATGGTGGTTCGCAAGATGCAGATTTTGCTTGCTTGAACCCAAAAACTACACCATAAATCTAAGTTTATAGTACAGAATAGTATAGAATAGTACAGTATTCAATAGTACAGAATTTAAACGTTACTTCGAGGAAACTAGATATTGAAGCTTTTCATCTTGCACTCACCAGAACTGGGAGACATGAAAGAGATTTGAAGGAAGAGGCACTGCTTTATAAATTATGAGAAAAGGATGCTGATTGGTTGGGCCATAATTGACTTGGAGATGCAGTAAGAATGGTTAATTATCAATCCTAGTTCTCAGACTAGGTAAAGAGATTCTGACTGGCCAGAATGTTGTCATGGGGCTATAGTTGTATTGGGCTATCTCTGTGTCAGTGTTGAATCGGCAACACCGACTAGTCCTGTGCAGCACTTCAATCAAAGATGATGTTCTGTTTTTAAGAGATGAGCAAGATCTTAAGCAGTAACATTGATGGAAGATATCTGACTTGCTTGCTACATTTCCTTTTCTTCCCCCCCATGTCTCATGGGCATAGACTGCAGTTGGCAAGACAATGGACACGTAGAGTTGCAGCCTAATTTCTAATTCATTCATAGGAAGTGGGTGTCACTGGCTGAACCAATATCTATTGCCCAGCCCCGGTTGCCTGGGAGACAGAAGAATGTAGTGAAGAAAGATTTATGCACAAAACAAATCTTCTGCTCACATAAAATCGCCAGATGACTGCTTCGGCAATGACACTGATTGCATGGGGACCATTTGCATCATTCCTCTGAAGCTGAAGTTATTGAGAGGTCTTCATCTGATCTGTCTATCTCTTGCGGCTGAACACTGATCACTTGAAGCTCCTGCTCTTCCAAGAAATTAAGGACCACAAGCGCTTTCTCCCCAATTTCCTGGCATGTCCTCTGCATCTCAGTGATGTTCATCTCCCAATTTGCCTTCAAGTTCAAGAATGGTCCTTCCTGAACCCCTCTCACTATAATCTCTCAGTCATTCACAACATACATTACAGGTTGTAACCCAGGCTGCTGAGCAGAAGCACTGGAGTTTTGATCTGTGTCAATGAGTCTGTGGGGAAACCCAGAGTACACCGTTCTCATTAGCCCATAATGTAACCTTGCTCCTGACACATTGATAATTGTTGACACAGTAGCATATCACTGGTGTTTCTCTGCTAACTTATTCTGCCAGACTTAATTACAAAAAAAACGAACAGGAATAGACCATTCAGCCCTTCGAGCCCACTCCACCATTCATTGAGATCATCGCTGATCTTCTCCTCAACACCATATCAGTGCCCTGTCCCAGTATCTGTTAATGTTCATATTGCATAGAAATCAGTTAATCTCCACTTGAACACACCCAGCAAGTGAGCCTTGACAGCCCTCTGGGATAGAAACACAAAAAAATTAACACACTTTGAATCAAGAGAATCACAACTAGTCTGCCTCTTGTTCTGACACCTTGTTGAGGGGTTTTCAATGCTGCGTCATGTCCTCCACACCACTCCTCTGCTATTCATTGTCAAACTCCAGCCATGCCCTGCTGTGTCGTACAGAACGGAAACAGACCCTTTGGTCCAACCAGTCCATGTCGAACATAATCCCAAATTAAACTAGTCTCACCTTCCTGCTTCTGGCCCTTCTCCCTCCAAACCTTTCCTATTCATGTACTTATCCAAATGTATTTTAAATGTTGTAATTGCGCCCACATCCACCACTTCCTTAGGAAGTTCATTTCATGCACGAGCCACCCTCTGTGTAAAAAATTTGCCGCTTTTTTTTTAAATCTCTCTCCTCGACACGGGTGCCTTTCCTTCCATTCACTTTCCTGTGCATGGTGACCAATTCCAGCTCGACCTGAACTGGGTGGGAGCTGCCCTGGCACGACCTCCATGGCATGGATGAGTGAAAGTTTTAGCAATTGCTGCCCTGTTTACTCTTTAAATCGTGCCCACTCCCAACTTCATCCTGCCTCTCTCCTGTATCCGCTCAATCTGGGATTATATGTGACTCAAGGCCAATTGACGAGCAGGTTTGCATCCAAAAAATTGCATTAGATTGATGTTCTCCCATCAGTGAAAAAGGATTAGGCCATTGCAACAACAAGTTCTCAAAATCTGGTAACCAAAATCCCACCCTTCACAAACAGTGCATTTGGGTCCTGTTTTGCTAAAGTGCAAATTTGTTTCAGAGCAGGTTACGTTTTTGTGAAGTTTGGTTTTAATTGTTCCCAAGTGTAGGAAAACTGACTGAGGACTGTGCCAAGTCAGACCGGAGAAACAGGAACAGACGTCAGCCAGATTATTTCCTGTAGCTCACTGAGATTAAATTACAGAGTTCCTCCGCCGCAAAGGAAATGAAACCAAGTCACAAAAGTGGCATGTACTTTTGTATGACAGAAATAGGCCAAGAGCAATTCAAAAAAGACTTTAATTTCAGCCTTCAGTTTGGTTTATCTCTCTTCTCCCATTCTCCATCCCTGACACATAGGCCTGCATAGGAATATATGACTGGATGTCGTTGTAATACTCCTCACCAATTCGAGCAGATGTCTGGAGTTCAGATTGCTCAAGATTGATTTCAGGCTGAAAAGGGCTCTGGCTCCTACATTGTTTACATCTCAATTGCAAATTCAAGGTTTTGAGTTGGAACTTTAAACACGTGGCAAAAAAACGCCCACCAATCCTATGACAGATTGCAGTGTGTGCCTGCTTCAGTTAGTCTGCTGAACCACAAACGTAGAGAGCTGTTCTTCTCTGAGCTTCAGCAAATAAGTGTATGTAACCTATGTCCAACATTTGGTCCACAAGTATTGAGCTGAAAGCCTGAAATTTCCCAAATGGTAGCACTCCCAACTTTATTTCAGCAGCACCGCTGTGGAGAAAAGCATTCGGATTTTGATAGGTGATAAGGCTAAGGATAAACAGGACAATTGGTAAAGGAGTAGATCATGCCTGCACACCTCTCAAGGACATATTTTGGAGTGACAGTGCAGTTGACCACTGCATGAGCTCCATGTAGTAAATGGCCTTGTATGGAAATTCATAGAAAGCAGACAGACCAGCAGTGGGAATGTGCAGAAAACTAACATAACTCTCACTCGTTACACCCATTTATTGTGCTCAACTCAATAAATATTACCTCCTCATGGGAGCTGCCCTCCTCAGTACTGGTTGGAACAGCAATATAGCATTTAACGTATGGACTCTTTCGTAATAGAGTTATCTTGTCTTTGCCAGCATGGAAAAATCACACATTATCTAGAAAAGAGTTAGGGTATTGGTCAGAGGAATATTGCCATGGAGGCCTAGTGGAGAGAAAAGGAGTGGTGGTAGGTGATAGTATCTCACACCCATAATTTGTTGGGGCGTGTCACTGATGAGGTCAACATTTATTGCCCATCCTTAGTTGCAATTGAGTGGCGGTGATGGATCTATGTTGATTAGTTGCAGTTAATGGAGTGAACGTGCTCCCACAATGCTATTTGGTAGGCAACTCCAGGATTTTGACACAGTAGTTAAAAATACTTACACATCAGGTGTTATGTGTGATTTGAAGAGTAACTGAGGAGATGATGTTCCCATGCATTCGCTGTTCTTGTTCTTCCAGGTATGAAGTTTCCTTATAATCAGGTCATTGTCCTTTAGAAAGTGCCATGTCAATACCTGAGGACTTCAACTTTTAATAACTCTGGACGTCACCAAACATCTCAACAATTGAAGAAAAAGTCCATTGAAATTAATCAGCAACTAACATGAAATTTATTGATAATCTTTTAAATAGTGCTGCTGGGTAGAATGTTACGAGCTGCTTCATGTTACTTACGTTGAAACATTACATTTAGCTATTACAATATTATGATCACTATTGAATAAATGTTCACAAACCATTAGCTCATTCACAAAATCTAGCTCATTACTCGGTAGTAATTCGAATATGACCTGAGTCCTTTGTTGCAGAAAACTGTATTCACTCAAGATATTCACTAACTTTCTGACAATGTGCTAGTCTACTTATCTCAATCGATATGAAGGTTAAACTATCCCATTAAAATCATTTAACATTGCCGGATGCTTGTATAATCATTGCGTTCGTACAAGATACCACTTCAATACTACGACAAGGGGGCCTATACACTTATTAATGTCAAAATCCTTTTCTATGTCTTAACTCTATCCATAAATTTTCAACTGCCTGATTATCCCTAGTCATATTGTGTCTTACTACTTCCCACATTTTCCTACAAGTCTTATAAACTGGTACTGTATATTTATTTTCTAATTCTAGTTATGCCTCTGTAATACTGCTATGTTGTATTCTCCAATTTGAATATGTGCATTCAGTTCATTCATTTTATCTCTAAACTCTGCAGTTTTAGAAGAAATGCTTATTTGAGCGACACACCCTAACCTGTTCTCCATCATCTAATGCTTTATCCAGAACGGTATGCGAATTAGTAACAGGATAAATTAAGTACAACACCGAATTAAACAAGCATAATAATTAACGATGCACTGTGCTGTCGAAATAGCTTCTACCAGCAAAACTGAGATTTATGGTCTTGCTATATAATAATTTGTTACAATAGTTTACCTTATGCAGCAGAAAAAGAGTAAAATTGGTAATAATTAGCAAAATTGAATGCCACTCTTTGCTATGTTGCTTTCTTGCATTACCATTGTCATTTGTTTGACTATTTTCAGGTAGATACATTTACCAGCCCATGACTCATGTAGAACTTCTACCAAGCACTTCAATCCCAGTCAGCTCAAACAGCCATGCAGATACAGTCCAGTTGTCCATATCCCTGGTGGAACGCTTCCTAAAGACTGCTTCTTTCCTCAGGCCTCCGTTTGCACCAGATACACCGAGGTACTGCACTATTTCCAAACTGTTTGTTGACAGCTATCGGGTCAAAAGGATCAATGGCAAGATGTGTTATGTCCAGTGCCAGCCTCATCCAGGTCCCACTCTGCATGATCCGAAGGTTGGAGATAACTTTAACCAGGATACCTCAGTCAGTCCAAAGGATCCAACCCTGGCAGACAAGGTACCAGCACCACAAATGAATCACTGTTCTTCACCATCTGCCTCAGAGGATTCTGGCATAAATGCATTAGGCTTGCACTGCCCTGAATCAGGTGATGAAGGCACAGAGGAAGATGAGGATGAAGATGAATTGAGTTCAGACGATGACTCTAGCCCAGAGAGCCAATGGGATCAGGATGATTGCAGTTTACTTTCTCCTTCCCGATCCACTGTGGAAATTATTGAGAAAATTGAAACAACTGTCTGAGCATAAGCAGTGAGAAAGGATTTCAGTCGCTTCTTCAACAATGCCTGGTGAAACAAGCTCAAATAGAACTTGCAGATTCCAATTTAAATTAATCCTCACTATTTCATGTGTTGAAGTAGCCAGAAGTATAGGAACTGTTCAAGCTTTTGTTTTCAGTTACAAGATGGACAATTAAAACGTAGCACATGCAGACTGTACACCAACAACTATGGTGCCTACCTAAATGAAGTTTTAGACCATGGTCCAAAATAACCAGAACCTTTCAAGTTACCAAGCACAATAGCCAAGCTCACAACCTTTTAGCCAATACTTCGGCAATTGGGTCGTCATTTGAAACCATCAGATGGAAGTACTTTTGACTGCACAGGAGCACTTCCACAAGACCAAACTATCATCTTTTTTGTCATGAGAGGGGTTGGTGGGATTTAGAAGGGGAGCTGGGTTGTGTTGTGTGAGGTAAGAGAATAGCGAATGGTAGGTAATGTATAGATTGTCAGGATCCTGGCTAATTACCAGAATCATTACACAACAAAGCACATTAAAGAAGAATTCAGCACTTTTTTCTTGAGTCAAAGATCCAGGAAGAGGTTTGAGGCCTGGGGCCTAGAGGTTTTGTTGTGTATCAAGTAAGGTGACACGTTCGCCTCAATAATCTGTAGGTATATTGCTAAATGAGTTACATTAACCCTTGCATGGAAGTGTGCTTTCAATTCTGAGTTGCCATGTGAAATCTGTACTCTGATTATCTCAATGATAACATAATCATCTTTACAGAGGGTTACACGTTACTAGAATAGATATCTCCATGTGACATTATTTGACTTGTTCTTTGCTGTTTCACATTTTAAAAGAACGTTAATTAAGTTAGTGGGGCAGAATTTTCTCAATCATACTGAGTCCTCCTAAACAAGAAGCATCAAAGTGTTTGATCTATAATTTCAGATAGAGATTGTGTACAATTACGGAGAATTTTATGGGGAATGTAAAGGTAACATTGCTCCATTAGTTTCTTTATTTGAATGTACATTAAAATTATAGACAAATGGAATCTATGATGAATTAAATGCACTAAGAATGTTTAAAAGATCGTGGCACATCCTTCTGTTTCTGTATAGTTGATTAATCACTGACTTTTTCTATTTTCCCTGTCCATTTGAAATCAATGGCCAAATCTGACTAAAGCCACCAATAGATGGTAACAATAAAACCCATGCCAAATAATGCGCCAATAAAATGTACAACTAATGGATAACTAAAGCACATGGTTCAGATTAATGATGTACTGAAGTATTCAATATGCAGGTAGAAAAATCATAGTGCCTAACAGTCCCACTAGGATGTTAAAAAGATAAATGAGTGAAATGTTGCCAACGTGACAAAAAGAGGATGTGCTGCAGACTCTCTCCTCCTTATATAAATTTCAGTGGATTGCCTGACACAACACAAAGGGTGCAAGAGAAAAGGTAATTCAATTGGTGTGTTGTAACCATGAGCTATACTGTTAACATTTGGGTTCTCCATACTGCAATAGACTTTAAGGTTTGATGCATAGCTCCTGATTAAATTCCACTAATTTTCTGATCTCCACTACAGGCCTTGATCACAGCATATTAGTGACATAGCTGTGCATCATTCAACAATATGTATGAACATTTACTTCATCAAGGCGAGAAAAGTAAATTCTGGTTTGAATGCTCACAATAAGTGTTCACATATGTTAGCACATGAGACAATGTACAATTTTATGTATACGTGACTATCTGGCTTTGTCCAATGTTGTCAGAAGCAGAGATATTCCTGCTTTAATGTTGTCTCAACATGACATGAAAGAAGCACCTTTAACAACCTATTTATTCACACATAGCCTAGAATTCTAATGTTAGCACTAATAGATAAAGCCATAAAAAGAACAACAGCATCTTAGTTTTACTAAATGGGCCATAAAACAGTGAAAAGTTATCAATAATGGTTATAGAAGGTGATGGCTCAGATATTTCAATGGAGAAAAAGGAAAGAAAAATGTTTTAAAAACGAGCGTAATTAGCGGAACATCCCAGCCTTGGAACATTAAAAATTGGCAGTAACTATGAAAATCTAGTATAATTTCGAAAGTATAAATGAATGATGAGCATGCATTACCAATTTATACAGATCCAAGCTCACTGATTTTGCAGTAAATAACTTTTTTATTTAGTTTTCAAGCTTAACTTTTCTTATCAGTGACACTTTGGTCTCCCACAGAATAGTTAGTGCAGCAAGAGTCCATTTGGCCCATCGTGTCCGCACCAGCTCTGAGATATTTGCTTTAGTGCATCAATTTCCCCATGACCAGCACATTGCTTCTATTTGTTACTACCTTCTAACAGTCAGGAACACAGTAGGCAGAATGTTAAACATCCTGTGATCCTTTGATTAGGGTGGCTGCATTTTGGCATTTAAAGTTACATTTAACTATAAATGACAAAAATGTTGAATTTACCTGGATGTCATCATTAGGTGTTTCAGAAAATTCTGGAAGCAAACTAAAATTCATTTTTTTAATAAATATAAATGTAATTAAAATGTAAAAGGAGTATTACAGATGCAGTGTTATAAATAGGATTCAGAGTAAGGAGAAAACAATCACAGCATCAGAAGAATGGTAAAAATGAATGTATCTTTACAACATAGTAGGTTTGTCTTACCCATATAGATCTCAATCACTGATTCTGGGCTTATTATTCTTTTACAGAAGATTATAAAGTAGCATGTTAAATGGTGGGTCGCAACGAGCCCATGTCTAAATGAATTCCATAAAGACAAGAAAATGTGAATATTTGAATACTCTGTTCATTGCCCCTTCTAGCCACTTCTTTTGAGATGGCGCTGTGGACAGTCTCTAGCAAGTTAAAACATTACCACAGCAATCATGTGGAAACTATTTTGAAAAGACCTTCAACAAGTCACATTGATCCATCTTTTTCAAGCCTGGTACAAATTTTCCAAATCTGAGGAAAATTCTTCTGAGTCCTCTCTCTCAGTTGGCATGAAATTTCATATCAACGTAATTTTTCAGAAGGAAGAGCCCATTGAGTATTCTCAGAAAAGATTGTCAAAACAGCCACCTCTTTGTGATAATGGCAAAAGTGATGAACCTTCAAAAAAGCCAATAATTTCACTGAATTTGGATTCGCAAAGGAACATTTAAGACCAGGTTATGAAAATGATTTCCAAGTATCTTTTCATTAATTCTGTCCATTCAATGCTTTTACTGTAGCCTGAAATTGAATTCTTATTCCCTAAAATTACAATAGAATAGTTTTCATATGATCTTTAAAATTATTAATTTCCCTTGTTGAATTTGTCACAGATAACAAATAGCAGCATGATTATCACATAACTTATAAATCCTCTAGTGGTAATTTAATTTTCACTTGTAGGTTGGACCCAATTCTCCCTGCTCTTTCCTCTTCACCCTATGGATACATTCAGTTGTCTTATGCTTTCTGGCTAAGAGGGATGGTCACTGACCAATTCCTGGTTTCAACTACGTTATTGGCTCCCTGCCTATAAATGGTTTCCAGGAGTTATTTTAAGTTTTTCAAAGCAGTATGCTCATGCATCTCCATGAAGAAATGCCTGGTTCTTTTCTCCAACAATCCAACATCATCTAAGGATGTATGGAAATAAATCCTCCTCAATTCCTATTCCCAATACTAAGTATTTACATACCAAACGTGAAAGTACTGAGTTCTCCAACTAGCTGGTCTTCTATAACAAGAGCCACTTTGCCACTATCTGTTGCCACTGAGCTTTTTACAGGTCAAATAAATTTGAACCAGGTATGAGTATCCTGTTCATTTCTCTCAAGTTCTGTGCATTGCAATATGGAAACCCTCTGCTACTGAAACCAATCTGCAGAGTGATGGTCTGGATCATTTTCAAAAAGGCAGATGCCAAGAAGACTTAGTTTATATCCAATGATCAGAAGATAAAAAAGGGCAACAATGAGGCATTCCAACATTGCAAAAGTTTTGGTGCTGGACAAATTTTGATGCTGATTTTTAAGAAGTTGTTCCGAATTTCACAACTGCTAGTGAAGAGTGTATTATTTAATGGATAGGCCTGCAGCTGGAGATAGTTTATCCAGAGGTCTATACAATCTTCACTGCAGAAAGAAGATTTTGGTTATGATTTACTGTGGTTTGCTCTGTATGTTATTAATCTATGTACCCTGTTTGATTCCAATAAAAAATCTTTTATCGCCTTCATTTGTGTAAGAATTCTTTCAATCAATGTTTGAAGTGCCAGGAGTGAATGTAATTATAAAACAAAAAATTGCAGATGATGGAAACCTGAAACAAAAACAGAAATAGCTAGAGAAACTCAGCAGGTGTAGCAGCACCTGTAGAGAGAAAGCAGTTAACGTTTTGAGTCCAGTGACCCTTCTTCATAACTCAAGTCGAACCATCAGCTTTGGTTTTTCTCCACAAATGCTGCCAGATCTGCTGAGTTTCTCTGACAATTTGTGTTTTTGTTTGTGAATGTAACTATGCTTAGCGGAAATTTGGTTGATTATTGCAAACCTAATATTTGGGAAATGTTCCATATAGCAAATGAATAAAATTCAGTTTGTCTAAAAAAATGGCACCATCATTTGAGTCTTCAAATCACTATTGAAACCAAAAACTTTTATTTTGAGATTAATTGCTTCCCACCCACTTGCCAATTTACTGTTGAACCAAAAGGCCAACGCCTGAGATTAATAATTTGAATTTGGAGGTGCTTGGACTGTTCAGCCTTCAAGCAACGCATTTACGAGCTGACTTTATAGAAAGATCAAATAGTAAATAATATGGAAAATAGTACTCTGGAAAATTATGTTAAATTTGAAGAGTTAGATATGACACAACAAATTTGAACCAGTGAAAGAAAAATTGAGGATTAAAACCAAACAATGCTTCACACAATCACTAAACTACAGATGGAATGGACTTCTGGACAGTATACTATGGGTAAATACATGAATCAATCTAAGAACCAAAATAGGAGGGCTGGGCCTGAGCTGTCTAAGTCCAACTCAAATCAGCTTAAGGCACAGTCCTCCACCAAACTGACATGTTCACCCCCTTCCATCCTAAAATTCTTTCTCCCTCTTACCAACAATTCTCACCTGCATATATCCCTCCACCATCCAATGAAGTTCACCATTGCCCTCACTGTCCTACCCAACAATCCTCAGTCTGCCATGCATGCCCAACAAAGCCCCCAACAGCTCATCTCCTTGCACCCTGATGACACTCATTGTCTCCTGACATCTCTCCCACTCAACCACCAACCCTTTCAACAGAATATATTAGGGACATTTAAGCAACTCTTGGATAGGCACATGGATGATAGTAAAATGTAGGGTATACAGGGTAGTTTGATCTTACAGTAGGATAATAGGTCGGCACAACATTGTGTGTTGTTCTGTTCTATGTTCTATAACTCACCCATCTCTTAATACCTCAACAATGCGCATTCTGACCCTATCACCCTCCCCTCCAGAACTCACACAATACTCGCTTACCCTATGCTTCAGGGCTCTGCAAATGTACCAACCTGTACATGCCTGGAAATAACTTTTGATGAGTAAAATTACATTGCCCAGGTCACTCCTGCAAATCTTCTTCAACCTTTGTTTTGGAGGTTTGGCCCAGATATACGATAAAATAACATAAAAATTTGGCCCATCCTTCCCATGCTATTAATCAGTGATTAACAATGGATTCATACCTGGCACATAGGAAGATTGTTCTGGTTATTGGAGGGCATCTCAGCTCTAGGCCATCTCTACAGGAATGTGTCTTCGACCCAACACCTTCAGCTGCTTCATCCATGATAATCATAAGGTCAGAAGTGGAGATATTTGCCAATGATTGCAGAATGTCAGCACCATTCATGACTCCTCAGATACTGAAGCAGTCTATTTTCAAATGCAACAAGGTCTGGACAATGTCCAGGCTTGGGCTGGCAAATGGCAAGTTACATTTATGCCACACAAATGTATGCAATGACTATTCCCAATAAAAGACAACCTAACCACCACCCCTGGACATTCAATGGCATTACCACCACTGAATCCCTCATTATCCACATCCCGGGGTTACCATTGACCAAAATCTAAGTGGAATCACCACATAAATATAGTGGCTACAACAGCAGATCAGAGTCTAGGATTAATGCATCTCCTGACTCCACAAAGCCTGTGCATAATCTACAAGGCACAGTCAGGAGTGTGATGGAATTCTCCCCACTTGCATCAACACTCAAGAGGCATGACACCATCCAGGACAAAGCAGCCTGCTTGATTGCCACCACATCCACAAGCATCCATTCCCTCCACCACCAATGCTCAGTAGCAGCAGTGGTTGCTATGTAAAAGATGCACTGCAGAAATTCACCAAAGCTCCTTAGGCAGCACTTTCCAAACCCACGACCACTTCCACCTAGAAGGAAGAGGGCTGAATGGCATCCTCATTCCTATGTTCCTGATAGAGCCTTGTGACTATATGGGAGAAGGTAAGCAGCAAAGGCAGCCAATCGGATTGTTTCAATCAAAGAGATAAACAAGCTCCATTGTTATTGTTTAAGGTGAGGATGGAGGAGACAAAGGAGAGGGGGAGCCTTCCACAAGGAAACAACTAGTGGTATAGGTACTAAAAAGAGACAAATAAACACTGATTTATTTGATTTTTATCAGGGATCTTAACATCCAAAACTAGGGGACATAGGTATAATATGAGAGGGGAAATATTTAAAAGGGACCTGAGGAGTAACTTTTTCACACAGAGGGTGGTCCATGTATGGAGTGAGCTGCCAGAGGAAGTGATGGAGGTTGGTACAATTACAACATTTAAAAGGCATCTGGATGGGTGTATGAATAGGAAGGCATATGGGCCAAATGCTGGCAAATGGGACTAGATCAATTTAGGATGTCTGATCGGTGCAGATGAGTTAAACTGAAGGGTCTGATTCCGTGCTGTATAACGCTGTGACCCAATGACCCTATGACAAGGGCAGCAGATACATGGGAACACCATCACCTTCAAGCTCCCCTCCAAGACACTCACCATCCTGACTAGGCAATACATTGCCATTCCTTCACTGTCGCTGGGTCAAGATCTTGGAATTCCCTCCCTAATAGCATTGCGGGTCAACCGACAGCATGTGGACTGCAGTGATTCAAGAAGGCAGCTCACCTCCACCTTCGCAAGGACAACTGAAGACGGGGAATAAATGCTAGCTAGCCAGTGGCGCCCACGTCCCACAAGTGATTTTTTTTTCAAAACCCGCATTCGGAAGGTGTAAAAACATGTCACCTGCACTCTGAAACTGTTCACCCACACCACATTCTGGATGATGGTCAGCCCGTCTTCAGGCCCCCTTCTGACGTTGCGCATCTCCCCAATTACCTCCCACTCCCTACCCCTCATCAATAATGTTCATTGCTTTGGCCTGACATCCCTTACCAATTAGTAGCCTGAGGGTCTGTCACTACTCAGGCAGGTCTAGCAATGCCAAGCCTCTTGACAAGTGCACCCACCTCCACACAAATACAATACAATTAAATTGCGTAACCAGTAGAGATATAGTTTTGTAAAAACAAATGCGTAAGAAGATAAAAAAAAAAGAAACTCATGACTTTATAACAATGCTGGTGTTGCAGTTAGTTACTTGAGGTGGTAACTTGAGAAGGCAGAGTGACCAGTTCTTCACCTCATGTGTCCTCCACCCTAGAAGTTTGAGACAATGCCTCACTTCTTGCTCTGGAACAGAAAGACCTGGCTGGAAGGACAAAAGTAGGTAAGGCGTACTTTTATTTGCAGTCAGCAGTGGCCATTGGAATACATCTACCGAGAAGATCTGGGACAAAGACTCTCATCCTTCTCCAGGAATCTTTGCTGCAATCTACTGTACAACATGACAAGGCATCAACCTTAGCAACTCAAAAATGCTGTTCACCACATCTCAAGGGCAATTAGGAACTGTGATGAATCCCATGGTTGCTAATTTTTTTTATAAAGAAATAATAATAAAAAAACGTTCTTGACTCCAACTTGTTAAATTCTAATTTAAATGTTGAACCAGTTGTAGGGGTTAGATTAGCTAAGAGACAATGCTTTAGCCATATAGTTAGGAATAGCGAAGGTGGAACTAACAGATGAGGCATCCAGAGTGCCAAGGCTCATAGCAATCAAAGGACTTGGGTAAGGAACAGACAATGCCTAATGACTGTGGAAAAGAAAGATAATATAGGACTTATGGATATTGAAGTGCAGGAATTATGATTGTAATATCCATACTGTGACCTGCATTAACCTTGAAGGTGCCCTGTGATTCAGCTGAGCAACGTCTGACCCCTCTGTTAATGCTCCTCTCCATGTCTGCATGAGATAAATAATCATTATCTGTTCTCCTGGAGTTCTGTCTCAATTTATCAAGTACCCCCACAACAGTTTGGTGTAGTCAGTGGGATGTTATGTCACATCACTGTCACTGGCACTGTATTTTGGTGAGTATGTTTTAATTTACCACCCATAGTTAGAGCAAAAAACTATTAAGTTACTAATAATAGGAGCTAGAACTCACAACCGTGACTGTGATTCTGTGTTCAAGGTGCACGTAGATTAGTCAATTTACATATCATTAAATATCTCTATATTTTAAAAACTTTATAAACCTCAATTATTTTCACAATGACAAAATCAAATCCAGCTTTCGGAGTTTTGCCTTTTAAGTGCGTTAATCCAGGTTTATCATAGTCGCTCACCAATACTACAATAACTATTCAATATCTCAACATTTAGTACTATCAGGAGGTTGTTCACTGTGAATTTTGTGCAATAAAATTGGACGCAAAATTCCAAATAAAATTGTTTATGATTTTGCTATATGCAGTGCACAGAGGAACCTTTGATATTTGACTTTTCTAGTGATCTATGCAATCTATGAATGATTTGTTTGACGTAAATATTCAAATATTCTGAAGATACATTAGACAGAATTTTTATTCCCTGTCTTGCATCCCACCATTAGGATGAATTGCAGATCAGGATTCTGGAAAAGCCAGGAACAGGAACCTGAGAGAAATTTTGGAGAAGTTGCCCAAGTAAGTGGCTGATATCAAGAGCCTCATCCAATCAAGGACACTGGGTGGGCAGTGAGTCTGGAGGGCTAACTGGAGGTCCAAAGATCGAGCACAAAGATCAGCAGTCCCACCATCA